TTTGTGTCTCTTATAAAATGTATTTGCAATGAATAAGTCATTGATTTTACAAAATTCAACCATTCTATCTCCAGCTTCATTCCTGTCACCAGCCCATGTTTTCCGACTACTGATTCTTCTTCTCTGTTCCCAACTTTTGCATTCCAGTCACCCATTATGGTGGTAGGATTTTCTTTAAAATCCCTTAATTTATATTTTTTAATTAGAAAAAGAACAAATGCTATTCTTGAATAAACATCCTTTTCACATAAAAATAAACCCCCAAAAAACAGTCAGAGCTTTAGCTAGGCTATGAGGTAAAATCCCTACACAGTTTTTGAGCTCAAATCCTCACAGCATGGTTAGGTTTCAGGGACAGGTTGTCCAAGAAACATTCAGAAGCTAAACTGCCTTTTCTAACCTTATCTCATTAGTCAAAAAGCATATAATCTCCACCACATTTTTGTTATAAGGGAATCAATCACTAAGGTAAGCCTTTTGTTCTGGACAGGGCAAATGATTAAGCTCTGGATTATTAATCTGAAGTCTGGAAGTTCAAACCCTTGGAACAAGGCCTGGTGAATTGCTTCTGAAAGGTCAGTCTTTTAAACATCATAAACCTAAAATTCACTGCCACCAAGTCTATTTTAACGCACAGCAACCCTTCAATAGGTTTCTGAGGGTGAAAATCTTTACAGAAGAAGACTACTTATCTTTCTCCTCTGGAGAAAATGGTGGATTTTAATTGACTTGTTAAAACAACAGTTTCTAATTCAGTAGGTTTGAAGAAAGCATTTCTAACCAGTTCTCTGGTGAAGCTGTTACTGTTGGTGACCAGGCTGTACTCAGAGCAACAAGAAATTAGACAACTTCTGAAACCATAATAGTGTTCAATCTTACAGGAATACTAAATACTAAAAGATTAAGCCCAAGATAAAATAGTATGGCATTAAAAATATTTCCCACTTTAAAAGTAACACCTCATATAAACTCACTTGACCTGAGTCTCTATTATTTCCTTAATAAAAAACGTAGCTATTTGCCCTGTCCACCACAGAATTAAATTAAAAAAAAGAAAACTATTGTAATAATTCTGAAAAGTCCATTACTACATGAACAAATTAAGAGAGATTTTTCTCAAAATATACATAGGCTCAGTCATGAAATCTCTAAAAATCTGGCAACTAATGAATGCTCTTATTTTAGAAAAACACAATGTAATTAAACTATTAAGTCTTTAGATAGATATTAAAAATCTGTGGCATGGATCAACTTCTAGGCAATATCACTTCTCACCCATTTCCTTTACATTACGACTGGTTCTGTCTGGTCAGTGGTCTATTAGGGAAGCCCAGACATGTCAGCCTATTTATTATTCTTCAGTTGGTGTTGCTGTTATGTACCGTCAAGTATGAACTGATGTTTTTAGAGGCAGTAAATTGCACAGATTTAGTCCATTTTTCTCCAATGGAGCAGCTGGTGGATGAGAACTGTGTGGTTTAAGGCTGACAATGCAACTCCTTACCACTAAACCATTAGCCTACTTATTATCCTTCTAACCTAGATTTAAAAAAAAAAATTTATCCAGTGCTTTATTTGTTTGAATTGCCATTAAGTCTTTTGTTTCCATTTCAGGAACCTATTTAAGTGTCTGCGAGAAAAAAGGCTCTAAGACTTATCAATGAGAATATATACACAGTTCTGTACTTCAATCTCTTCTACAGCAAGAGACAGAAGAGTCTGGAAATGATTTTCTTTTTCAGTTATAAAACCCATTCTTTTTGAAGTAAACAGGCAAGGTGTGGCATCATAGAATAAGTCCCTTTGCTCAGCATAAATGAAACATACAAATACCACAGCTTAATAAGAAATATTCTAAAGACTTTCTTGACATAGTTGATTGGGTTTTTCTCTCAAAATGCTATTTCCCATTTTCCCAACTTTCTTTGTATCTAGTAATGAGGTAATATTCATCCAGATAAGAACTCATTCCCTCCTCTATGAAACAATCATTTGGTAACAGAACAACTCACCGCAAAGATTTTTAACAAAGTTTTCATGTAGAGTTTTCGGATACCAAAAGAGACTCCAAAAATGGCTGGAACAATGATGAAAACAAGAAGAAGGGTGAAGAGGACGGTCAGGGAGATGCCCAGAAGGTTGACAATCAGGCTATCAAAAGGCAGCAACAAGAACATGGTGGAGGATCCAGGCAAGGCCAGTGCCCTCCTCCCCAAAAACAAACGGCAACCTTCAAATGGTCCTTTCTGACAGCATCAGCCTGGGAAAGGAAGCAAGTCCCCAGGGTATAACAAACTCCATGCCAAAGTTCACATCATTTGACTGTAGAGAAAGGCTAGGAGTTGGACTAGAGGAGGAAAAGAGCCACAGAAGGCAGGCTGAAAATGCCAGGCTACCCTAGAAGAGATGATTCTCGAGATGAACAACGAAGAATAAATCTTCAGTAAAAACATCCGAGTCTGGGCTGAGTTGCTGTGAAAGTGAGCAGCAAGGAAGGGATCTGTTATCCTCACTCTGCTTCCAGAGGTTTTACTCTTTCCCCTGCCTAAGAACATTCAGCAGAAAACTCTGTCCTGCAGATCTGTCACTGCCAGAAGTACCAAGAAAAAGTTCCTCTCAGTGCCAGTAAAATCTTGATAACTCCTATGAAGGGGTGTGACTTCTGGCACGTCACAAAGAAGGTTATTCAGCTTGAATATGTAGAAGTTAAATAACTGCTTTACTTAAAATTTCTTCATAAAGTGAAAATCGTGTTCATTGTAGAAAGTTCATATCTGGCCCCATTCTTCCTCTAGAGGCTCCTGGTGCTTTCTGCTTCCAGGACCCTCCTACCTGGAGAGTTATAGTCTCTGCCAGTAGGACACAGATGCTCGCACAGAATGGCTCATGCTGACTGTGGTGAGTGTAATTCCAGACGTGTCTGGCATTGGTTCCCTCTGGATATTCTTCTCCCTAAGGCCCCCTTCACAGCAGTGACCTGGATTCTTGGCAAGAAGTGGTTCACATGCTGCCAAAGCTGAGGGTGGAAACAGAAACATAGTTAGTTAAACAAAACATGAGGAGAAATGTCAATGTGCTCAGGTTGGTGGTGAGGGGGCACTGTTTTAGGGTGAGCCTAGAATCCGTTCCAGTTTCTCAAGTCAACAAGGTCAAAGAGATTTAAGTGGCAGAGCACCAGATGGCACACATGAATGTGAGAGGAAAACACAGATGCTTCATGCAATTTTCAATTCCATTGATAGGATCTGTGGCCACTCAAACTATTTAAATAGGAAACACACACAAACACACACCACACACATACTCCTCACATTTCAAAAGATTTAAAAGGGCATATATTCTTTGAAAAATAAAGCTTCTTTTAGTGTGTTTACCTATTAGCCCTGTGAAATGGTTAAGGTACTAACTAAAAAGGCCACTAAATCCTTCACTAAAAGGTGGACAGTCTGCTCACATTAAGCTTTACAGCCTCCAAAAGCCTATGGAGATTCACCAAGAGCTACCTAGCCTTCTCTTCTACAGATGCTAGCACCTGTCAGCTCTATATCCTTCCAGACAGCATAAGCTTACACAAAACGTGACAGGTCATTTTCCTCTGCTCCTAACCCAACAATAATGACAGCACACTACACACTGTCCTTGCTTTTATCCTTTCCTTTTTTCAATATATTTTACTATGTTTAGGTTAAAGTTTACATTGTAAATTAGACTCCCATCTAGTAGATTTTAAACAAACTGTTTCATGATTTTGGTTACAATGTTTGCAACCTGTCAGCATTTTCTTTAGTTACAGTCTATTTGTTTTGTTTCCATTTATATAGCTTCTCTTTCCTTCCTGGCCTTCTTATCTTAAACTTTTGGGTAAATGTTGGCCATCTAGTCTCATAGAGTTGATTATTTGCTGTGATTATTTAAGAAAGCAAATTATTCACTGGTGATATAGGTTATTTTTTCTAAGTACTTTAACATATCTTAAGGAGCTCTGGCAGAAAAGTGTTGGCTTGCTAATCAAAAGGTTTGTTGAAATCCACCAGCTGCTCCATAGAGGAAGGTGAGGCAGTCTATTCCCATAAAGATGTACAGCCTTGGAAACTCTAATAAGACTGTCCTGAGTCAGAATTGACTCAAGAGCAGTGGGAGTTTGGTTGAACTATTGTGGCAGCAGTCTACCACTGAAACCTATTCTATCGGTCTTTATAAGTGCAGTTTTTAACTGTATGAGTGGTCTGCTGTTTAGATAACCAATCTCCTGAGAGTGTTTTCATTTTGTGGAAAGCTGCACATGTAAAATGCTGCAATGAAGAGTCATGGACATACAAGATTTAACACATACAATTAATTTACCAGCAAATATATTTTCAGAATCAATTGTGGGAAATAAAAGTGCAGGGGAAAAGAAACTTTTCATTTCGGAAGATAGTGCCATCATTTCTATTTAGACATTAAATCCTTGCAGCCTATCTCCTTATAATGGCCACTCATTTTTTAATTATCCCATTTCCAGTATCTCACATATTCCAATTTTATAGGACTTATTCCAAATAACAAGTTAACAATGTAAATCCTGATTCTTGGAGCATTCTATCAAGTCTCCCTAGTAAAATATTTTTGCTTCCAATCAATTACCTTCTAGCTCTGTTCCACTATGCTTAGAAGCTGAAAAAACTATACAATGAACAGGTTAATGATGTCACCTTAAATTTGGTCCCCTGCTTTATCAAATTTAAAGAATTTTCACATACTATTTCATTTAGTTATTGTATAATCTTTCAACATGTATTATTTCCATTTTAAAAATCAGAAAACTAAGTGAGGTTGACACAGATTCAGCTCTGCTGACTCCTCATGCTGCACTGTTCTCCTTACAATCCCATATATCTAGTGATTCGATAACATAATATTTCAGTAGCAGTGAAATACAAATACTAGTTATTTCTGATCTACTTCCATTTTACTTACTATGCATCAGAGAGCTGGACAATGACTAGGGAGGATAGAAGGAGAATTGATGCCTTTGAGCTGTGGTGCTGGAGAAGAGCATTGAGAATACCATGGACTACTAAGAGAACAAACAGGTTAATCTTTAAGAGGGTGAAACCAGGCTGCTCCTTGGAGGCAAGGATTCTGAAGCTTTGTGTGACATATTCTGTACATGTTGCAAGGAGGGACCCGTCCTTGGAGAGGGATGTCATGCTTGGGGGCGGGGGGAGGGACATTGCAGGAGAGGAAGACCCTCAATAAGATGGACTGATTCAGTGACTGGGGGAATGGGGGTAGATGTGTAAGAGACGAGATTGGCATAGGATAAAACAGGGTTTAGGGCTGTTGTACATGGGGTCGCTATGGGTCGCAGGCAACTTGACAGCACGTAACAACAACTTCCATTTCATCTAATTCCACACTATTATTATATATTATTGTTGTTATTTGTGACTCACAGTGGCCCTATGTACAAGAGCCCTAAATGCCATTCTATCCTGTGCCAACCTCGCTGTCTCAAACACATTCATTCCCAGCACTCCACTTACAGAATCGATCCATCTCATTGAGGGTCTTCCTCTCCTGCGCCATCCCTCCACTCTCCCAAACATGATGTCCCTCCCCAAGGACCAGTCCCTTCTTGCAACATGCCCAAAGTATGTCAGACGAAGCTTCAGAATCCTTGACTCCAGGGAACATTCTGGCTTCACCCTCTCCAGGACAAACCTATTTGTTCTCCTAGAAGTCCATGGCATATTCAACACTCTTCTCCAGCACCACAACTCAAAGGCATCAATTCTCTTTCTATCATCCCTATTCACTGTCCAACTCTCCGATGCATAGCATGTAATTGCAAAGACTATAGCCTGGATCAGGAGCACCTTAGTATCCAGCCTAATGTCGTTGCACTTCAGTACTCTTGAGAAGTCCCTCAGAGCTGACTTTCCCAATGCAATTTGCTTACAACATGAAAGGCACTGGACTAAGCTTATTACATATACTATCAGTCAGTGGGCCAAACCACTTGCTGCTCTGTGGTAGAAGTTATAGCAGTCTGTTTACATAAAGATTACAATCTTGAAAACCCTACTGGAAGTGCTACCCTATCCTTTATGGTTGTTATAAACCAGAATTCATTTTGGAGTCATGGGTTAAGCATTTTTAAAAAATTATCACAACCTTATGTTGGTTTATCAATCTTGCCATTTTATAGTTGGGGAAACTGAGGTTTTATTCAAAGTCACAGAGCAGAGGGATTTTTAACAAGCTTATTGGTCTCTTAGTCTATGCTCTTTAACCACTTTGCTCTCTCATCTCTCCAATTATCTTTAAATAAATCAATACTTCCTTAATGTCAGGCCTACTCGATAAAATTTTGTGTGATTACAGAAAAATCTACCTTCGTGTGTCAGAATTTGGTGTTCTCAGAATCCAAGGTACAACCTGTCTTTTCATTTTCACAAATCTGGCCAAGCTGACTGTACATGCCTGATTTCTTAACACATTCCAACAATTGTTAAGGAAGTTCGATTGTATTCCTGAGACACAATTTATTTTCCCGATTCACTGCACTCCTCAGCACCATGCAGGTTTGCACCAGGTCCAATATTAAGGCCACACATCTTTGCCCCACCTGTCCATCTCCGCCCAATGACCCCTGCAGCCAGCATTCTCATAGGAAGAGGACATAGGCGCAGAAATAGCCCTCTACCAACTGACTTTGCCAAGTTCCACGGACCCAAGGTGACCGATCCTTCGATTTTGGATGACAATTAACTGAAAATTCCCTTTTCTGAGAATTTCTCTTTACTTTGGATTACAATCAACTGAGAATTCCCAAAGCTATTATTTTAAGATTCATGTCCCCAAAAGATTAAAGTAAACATATTTAGCAATAAATGCATTTCTTCACCAACCTGCAGGGTAGGCAAATAGAATGAATGCAGCTTTGGTCTGTTTTTCACATTGCCCATGTGCTGAGAATATTTCTAACAATTTTAAAGAATTGTTTGAAAACAAAATAAAGAAGAACAATTATGACCTGCAAAGTCTCAAGTATTTCTTTTCTGGTCCTTTACAAAGAGTATGCCAACCCCGATCCAGTTGATTGTTTCTCCCCCCATGGTAGTGAACCCTTCACTTGTTGTTATGCTCCAGCCCAAGCGCTGGTTTGTGGAGTCTGACTCCACAGAGAACAATAAACTAGTCAAACGAGTTATCTGGCCGACACACGGAAAAATAGTTACAAAAATTCTTAGAAGTAGGTAAACACACCTACAGCAAACAAACTGTTGTTATCAAAAGTTTCCAAACATCCTGCTGGACTGGTAAAGGAGTCATCAAGGCCAACAATACTACAAATTGAACAGCAGATTGTTCAGCAAAAGGGATATGCTAGTTCCGTCAGAGTACTGGTTTGTTGGGATGGGCAAGTCAGAAACTGGCTATCTAAGAGGAGGATATTAAGGAACGTGGCAATGAAGTATCTGGCTTACACACTTTTTTAAGGGGGGAAAAAAATCCCATAATATACATGAACATAATACAATGTAAATAAAAAATTTTATAAAATACAATGCATATGGGGGGGAAAAAACATAATTTTTAAAAAATGTTGGGGGAAAACAAAAGATAACTAATGTCATAAAATAAAAACAAACACCAAGAAACTCTGCACTGAGTCAATTACAGCTCATGCTCTATAGGGATTTTATGGCGGATTTTTAGGAAGCATTACCATCAGGACTTTCCTCTGAGTAGATGCAAGCCTTTATATTCTAGTTAGTTGCCAATAGCTTAATTACTGTTTGCACAACCCAGGGATACCAGGGCCCTCTTAACAGACTTTTCATATCTAGAAATATCAGATAACTGTCCATATCAGAACTCAATCTTATCCCTTCTTGCTTCATTCAAAACACTTTTTTCTATAACTGCTTGTTTAGAAGAAGAAATCATTTCCCCTGAAGTACAAGAAGCCATTTTAACTCCAAGAAATGTATTTACTTATCTTCCTAACTTCCAGAGCTTGATTTT